AATATGTTATTTGTCGATGTTGCATTTTATTTATAATTTCAATTTTAGTAATCTTCTCTTCCAATAACATTTGTCTTAATCTAGCAATTAATATGTCACGTTTTTTTAGCATGTAATTAACTAGGATCATTTTCTTTTATTTTAGAGAACAACCTAAATAGAAATGTAGTCGCTTTGGGACCGTTCTTTTAAAAAGAATGAGATGAGCCTCGCCGAGTAAAAATATAAAAATTGTGGGGCCCTCGGTAAATATTTACTTTAAAAATTGCTTAGACTTCGGAATGGACCGTTTAGCAAACTGTCACGGCCTTACCCAAAGTAATTGATACGCTAGGCGCTTTAGGCGCGCCTTTAATAATTTAATTTTCTTAAAACTCGGGTGCACATTTATGTGACCCAAATCCAAATCTCAACAGAGTCGAAATATGTCGATAACCACGGGTACATTGATGTGACGTGGTTCGAGATATATTTTCACGATGTTGCAATTCTCTATAAAAATAATAATAACAATAAAGCGGTTAAAAGTTGAAATTGCACTATAGTTTTTGAACAGGTATAAAAATCAGATATTTTAGCCATTACAACAGTTTAAGCGACTGCGCTAGAACCACGGGATTCGGGGGTGCCTAACACCTTCCCTCGAGTCAACAGAATTCCTTACTTAGAATTTCTGGTTCGCAGACTTCATTTGGAAAGTCGAATATTTTCCTCGATTCGGGATTAAATTGGTGACTTGGGACACCCTAAATCTTCCGAGTGGCGACTCTGAATAAATAAATAAATCTCGTTTCGATTGTCCTTTAATTAGAAAAAACTCCCTTCCGCGCCCTTTTAAGGTGGCGCGGGCGAAAAAGGAGGTGTGGCAAGCACGACTCAAGATAATTCGTGTATCTGCTTACAAAAAATATTGAAACAGTGTTATTGAAATTTTTGCTCTCAAATACTACATCTTGTACCAAAAGGAAATGTATAAAGACTATCATGCCCGAAAATTCATGTCATATTGCGGTTATAAACGACATTTCTATAATAAATGTCTGCATTTATCTCCATCCTATGAAACATGTATTTAAGATCGTGGCAATGCTGATAATTACAACATGGTAACAATAAAAATTCAAAAAAAGCTGAGTAATTGGTAGTACCGATAAAAAGATAAAATTGGTAGTATTAGAAGGGCATTTTGGAAACAAAAATGGCATATCGTCATCTCAATAGTCCCGTACTTTGAAGTCAATTATAACGATGGGGAAAACAAAGTTGAGAAATTGTGTTGTTCACTTAATTATAAAAGTAAATAAATCTCATAATAAGATATGAAATATTCGATGGCACCATAACATAGAGACAACCAGTAGTGGTATTTTGTTCAGATAAATAAGTACTTAGCATCATACTATAACGATCCGGCCGGTTGTTTCATGAGTTACCGTTCCGTTTCTTCCATTTCTGCTTCTTGTTGTCTTGTTTATCGGTTCTATGTGTGATCGGATTGGTTGGCTTGGGTTCGGAGAGGTTTTGGTAAGGTTTGAGACACTTAGTCTCTTTTGAGTAAGCTTAAGTCGGAAAAGTCAATCAGATGTTGACTTATGTGTTAAAAGGCTCGGATGTGAGTTCTGATGGTTCGGATAGCTTCGGAAGATGATTTGGGACTTAGGAGCGTGATCGGAATATGTTTTGAAGGTCCGGAGTAGATTTAGGCTTAAATTGGCGAAATTGGAATTTTGACGTTTTCCGGTTGATAGGTTAGATTTTGATATAGGGGTCGGAATAGAATTCCGGAAGTTGCAGTAGGTCCGTTGTGTCATTTGGGATGTGTGTGCAAAATTTCATGTCAATTCGGACGTGGTTTGGTAGACTTTTTGATCAAAAATGTAATTCAGAAGATTTTGAGAATCTTAAGCTTGAATCCGATGTGTTTCGGTTGATTCGATGTTGTTTGAGGTGTTTCGAAGATTGGTATAAATTTGGATGGTGGTATGTGGCTTGTTGGTGTTTTTGGTTGAGGTCCTGGGGGCCTCGGGGTGATTTCAGATGGTTGACGGAGAGTTTGGAGTTTTGGTGAAGCTCCAAAATTTTCTGCTTCTGTTGTTTCAGCACCTGCGGATTTGGAGACCGCATGTGCGACACCACATATGCGAAGAGAGGACCGCAGATGCGGTCAAGGATGCGAAGGGCAGGGGCCGCAGATGCAGAGTGTTGAGCGCACCTGCGATGGCGCAGGTGCGGTTATATGGTCGCAGATGCGACTTTGGGCATTTTAGTGGAAACCGCAGGTGCGGTGGTCAAGACCGCAGAAGCGGTAAAAGGGCCACAGGTGCGAAAAGCCTGGGCCAGAAGGTATAAAAGAATTCCTTTGCGATTTTTGAGTTGTTCTTTACCATTTCAAGTCGGTTTTGGAGCTTTTTGGGAGATTTTGAAGATGGATTCAAGGGATAACGTCTGGAGGTAAGATTGTTGAACCAAAAACTTGTTTCTATGGTATTATTTTACGGATTAGAGTTGTAATTACGGAAATTAAGGGTTAAAAAATGGGAAACTAGGGCTTGGTATTGGAGACCTTGACTTGAAGATTTGAGGGGCCATTTGTGGTCGGATTTTGGGACTTTTGATATGTATGAACTCGCGGGGAGATAAGGAATCTATTGATATAAATTTTATTGAATTCCGAAACGTGGGCCCGGGGGTCGAGTTTTGGTTAATTTCGGGATTTATGTTGTAAATTGATTATTTTTGCATGGGCTTCGTTCCCTTGGCATATTTTGATGTCGTGATTCTGATTTTGGATAGATTTGACGCGAGTTGAGCCGATTCGAGGGACAAAGGCGTCGCGGGCTAGAGTTTGGACCGGATTGAGGTGAGTAATGATTGTAAATGTTGTCCTGAGGGTATAAAACTCTGGATTTCACTTCGTTGTGCTATATTGAGGTAACATACACGCTAGATGACGAGCATGGGGCCGTGCACCGTTGGGGATTGTGACTTAATCCATCCCGACTGACTGTTTTACCGCGTATTTGATTGAAAATTATTTGCTATCATCATGTTTTGGGCTGAATACAATATTTGGGCCTCGTGCCAACTATTTGCAGACCCAAGGGAATTAGATTCTCAGAATTGAATCTGTACAAGGCTTTCATAAACGATTCATGACTGACGATCGTCTATGGAAGCCCTGTATCTAATCTTGGAATGAATCTCAACAGATTCAATTCTGAGAATCAATTTCCTTGGGACTGCAAATCTCTTCAACAGTCTGTCAAAGATTCGCCAAAGCCTATAAGCTCAAAGTATAAAACAAAGTGTGTCAAGAGAGGAGCATACCTTTTTAGTATGCTCATCTTATACTAGTATAATTTTAGCTTCCTGATTCAATTTATCTTTTAGTATACTTTTTAGTTAGTGTTGCATTAATGGAGCACTGCGATCACTTACAGCGTTTTTCCTTTGACATGCAACAAAGTTAACATATTGTGTTGCAGAAACAGTACTTAAGTTGAGATTAAAGCAAGGTGTATATACTTAGTAAATTATGATGACTCTACTAATTTCAGAACTCTTATAACAATCTAACTAGCTAGTAGTTTATAGTAAATAAAAATTTAATGCATCTACTGAGTACGAACCATATACGGAATTAAGCAAGAGAAAGATTCAAAGAAACTGTCCACGTTTCTTCTCTTCCACTCAACGGCAACGTCACAATTGTGACTATCGACTTATATAAATTCTTAGTCTGCGCAATAAAATAGCTTATCCCTCTTTTTATATTTATGCTGCAATAAGAAAATATAAATATATACTTTGTAAATTTTAAGGTTGGCAAAAGTCTATTGTAAGGAATTTGCATATAGTTTCAAAACTCATATCTAGTACAATCTTATAAAGAATTGTTCAACGAACTTGAATAGAAAATTGAAGTTGCACTGCGTTGGTTACGCAATCTGATGCTATAAAAGGATGATAAATAGTTCTTAGCAGAGTACCAATATTAAGAAGTTATATTACAAGATGAAAGGATATGCTATTGCGCTCATAGCATGTGGCTGTGTAGCAGCTGTTGTTTTGGTTTTGTATTGCGGTGGCCGAAAGAAAAAGAGCCACCCGATCTCTGGCGGTGCTCCTCCTTTACAAGAGAAACGTGATGTTGAGAAGGGTGAAATTATTACACCCAAGAAAAACACGACTGCTTTTGCCAGTAGTGCTTTATATCCTTACACTGGTGCCCCTGTAGATGCGGGTATTCGTTGTGGTGGTGGATGGGGGATTAGCAGCAGCAGTTGGGGTGGAGGTGGTGGAGGTGGTGGCTGTGGTGGCAGTGGCGGTGGTGGTGGATGTGGCGGTGGCGGTGGTGGTGGATGTTGAGACTATAGAGATTAAAAATAGTTTAATGTCTTCTTTGTCTGTCTTCTGCTGTGGCTACTTTTAGTGTATCATGAGATTGGAAAAATGAATTTGTGTGATATACCAGTGAATTTTTTTGGTAACATCAGGGTTGTAAATATATTTTATAATTTCAATGCATGCCCCTGTAGATGCGGGCATTCGTTGTCTTGGTGGAGGGCCGGGATGTTTTGGGGTGGAGGTGGTTGCGCTGCCGGCGCAGGTGTCCGTGGATTTTGAGGCGGCGTGGAGATTAAAACGAGTTAAAGTCGACTTCTGTGTCTATTCTGGCTACGTACTTTTAATCTATAACAAGGATATATATGTCGTAAATAAATTTGTGTTATATACATTAATTGTGTGAAATATTTTGTATCATTAGTATTGTAATGTGTGAAAATATTTTGTACCATTAGTATTGTAAATATTTTTTACAATTCCGTGAATGTTAAAACTCAATAGACAGTGCCGGGTTTGGGGAAGAGTCACAACTTTAGCCTGTATTTTTGCAAGAGACTATTTTTACCGCACAAATCCGTAATCTTCTAGTCACATGACAATAATTTTACCAATTATGCAAAGTCTAACTTCAAAAATGTATTGAGACATTGTAGTTTCACTTGAGTTAGAGAGAATGCAAGATTTATGTACGAGGGTTTATTCTCATTCATTCTCCCATCTCTTTCTTGGCCCCTCATCTTGTACCAAAAAGGAATGTATAAAGACTACCATGCCTGAGAATTCATGAAACCTAGTTTAATGCCTTAATTTGTTCACCTAGATCAAACGTAACACACTTCACCAAGGTAAAAAGCGATCACAAAACTAATAGATATGTTATATATTCTTGTCCCTCTCCAGCTTAGTTTAAACTACTTTCGTTATCCATTTAATACTTCTTTCTCTTTTTTAATTTCTTATTCCTTACTAGTTTTTAATAGTGTCCTTGGAATTAAATGTGGATAATTATAAGAGCGGACGACAATATGAAGCAAATCAAATTGCACAACAAATATGAAACCACCTTACCTGCAAATCAAAGATTGACGAAGTTGCTAATAGAAACTGTAAGGATTTCTTGCTTATCTGAGTAATTTGCGCCAGAAATCGGCATATCCAGATTTTCCATCAGTACGTTGTTCTATGTTTCTAAATATATTCTTGTTTCCACTTTGCTTTTCTTTTGAAATCCTTTGCTTAATTTATGTATGATTTCAATGTTTCCGTTCAAATGAACAATTTCAATATTATATATTTCAGCTTCCGGATTCAACTTATCTTTGTATTTTTTAATGTTGCATTGGTTTGTAGAATAAAAATATGGAGCTCTATGATAAGAGAGGTTAAACTTACAATATTTCTCCTTTGAGATGCAACAAAGTTAATACATTTCGTCGTAGAAACAATACTAAGGCTGAGATTATTAAAGCAAGGTATACTTAGTAAATTATGGACGATGACTAATTTCAGAACTCTAACTACGTAGTTTCAATAAAAAGTCTCAGATCTCATAACGTGCTAGATTTTCTAAATCAATCTAAAATATTTACATGGATCAGTTTTAAAATAGTTGACATATATTATTCGAACAACAATAGCGTCGTTCAAGTCTGTTTGCAGAAAAGCAGAGTGTTTTCAATTGATTTAGATGCTCTATCAACCACAACAACAACAACGACAAAAACAAACCCAGTGTAGTCCCACAAGTGGGATATGGGGAGGGTAGATTGTACGTAGACCTTACCCCTACATTAAAAAAGGTAGAAAGGCTGTTTCCATAAGACCCTCGGCTCAGGGAGGAAAAAGGAATGGGCAATCACAAGCAAATCAATCTGACAATCAAAACGAAAATACAAAACTAAGTAATGCAAACAGAAAACCGACACAAGGCAGTAACAGCAATCTAGGAATAAAAAGAAGTACCCAAAGGACACTAAGAGATGTATCAAAGCAACTGTGACAAACAAGGACAACGCTCAGCTACCTAACCCTCTACCTTTATTCTCAACCTCCATACCTTCCTATCTATGGTCATGTTCTCAGTCAGCTGGAGCAACGCCATATCTCGCCTAATCACCTCACCCCAATATATACTTCTTCGGTCTGCCTCTACCTCTTCGTTGGCCCTCCAACGCCAGCCTTTCATACCTCCTCACCGGAGCACCAGTGCCTCTCTTCTTTACCTGCCCACACCTAAATATATAAACATTTTTATGAAATGCTAGAAGAATCAGTATGTCAAATCTCTGCGCATCAATTAAAATTTTTTACCTAGTATAATTAAGTATACTAAGTATGGAATATATTAAGCAAGAGAAAGATTCAAAGAAACTGCCACATTTCTTCACTCCCACTCAACTACAATATCATGATTGTGATGACTAGTCTTGGTCTACCGCAAATGAAATGGCTTACTCATGTAATTTTATATATGTATATATAGTGCAATAAGAAAATATAATTATATACTTTTAGAACTGTTAAATGTGCCAAATGTCTAGTGTGGAGAATTTCCATCTTATTTCCAATCTCATATCTGGTAAGTACAATCTAATAAACTTATTCAACAAACCTCTATAGAAATCTGATGCTATAAAAGCATGATCACAAAGAGTTTTCAGCTGAGTACCAATTGAGAATTAGTTGTCACAACATGAAACCATATGCTATTGCTCTCATACTCTTTGGCTCTAATATAGCTTTATTTTTTCTTATGATTTGGCTTTGCAACTTATTCAGAAAGATAACAAGCCACCAGATAACTGCTGGTTCTTCGCCTCCTCCTCCTCCTCATTTACAAGTGAACCGTGATGCTGAAAAGGGTGGAATTACACGCAAGAACACAACAGGAGCTGTTGTTATCACTAGTACTTACAGTAGTAATGGTGGTGGTGGTGGCGGTGGAGGGATTAGCAGCAGCAGTTGGGGTGGAGGTGGTGGCTGTGGCGGTGGAGGTGGTGGTTGTGGTGGCGGTGGTGGTGGATGTTGAGACTCTAGAGATTAAAAAGAGTTAAAATTGTCTTCTTTGTCTGGCTTCTGCTGTGGCTACTTGTACTCTTGTAGTGTATCATGAGATCGATTGGAAAGATGAATTGTTGTTATATTACATTGATAGAGGGAAATTTATTTGTAACATAAGTATTGTAAATATTTCTTACAATTTCAGTGCATAGAGTTAATTAAAACTCAAAACAATATAGAGCAACTTCAAAAAATGTATAGAGACATTCCAGTTGAGTTTGTGGATATAAAGAATCATGATTTCTATGAGTGTCTGCACGTATTTCAATCCTATAAAACATGTACTACGTAAAATCGTGGCAACCATTACAAAATGAAAACAATCTCACCATAAAAGCTGGGTGGGTCAAAATAGGTTAGAGACAATAAATGGGTGAGTCAAACGACCCTCCCAAAAGTTACATGAGCTGAGATGGGCTGGGTCAAGATGGACTAAAATTTGGGTCATAGCCCAACTCGCCCAACTCTTACCAAGCTTTAATAAATATGTGTTATTTTCTTATAAATGGTATAATTATTAAATAAGACTTTTTTTATTATGGTCATATTTAACATATCAAATTTAAAAAATATATATATTTCTAAAATATTTTGGCAAAATACTCATGGATCATTCGGCCCAACTTTAAATAAATTAAGATGAGTTAGATCAAAATGGACTGAGTTCAATAAACTGGAGGATCAACAACCTTGGAAGGATGGGGCGGGTTATTTGGGCTTAGGCCATGACAGCCCTACATGGTACTTAGTAGAGTTAACCACTTGAAAGCCAAGGTTTTCTTTGTAGCTAGCTCAGAATTGGTAACTCATTCAGGAGTCGGACTAAATTATCTTGGGGTTATAATCTATAATTCCAGGACTAATTTATACCACATAAGAAATGGAATAAAATAATTCAACATTTGATGGAATAAAATGGGATATTCTGGATTAAGTCTGGGATTAAATTTATACCTTGTTTGATTGGTGGTATAAATTTATTCTAGGATAAATTTATACCGTCAACCAAACACAGTATAAATTTTAATCTCACATCTTATCCCTTCTTATCCCTCGTACCAAACGTCCCGCAGAGACTTATGAAATGCAACTTGCACAAAAAGGAAGAAATAATTAGCTAGCTTTGATCCTTGTACTACATCAATAGGACTCACCTCAAATATTGGATGGATGAATCTGATAAATATACTGGATACTAATTAGTCTCAATCGTTTTCTCAGGATCTTGATTGACTTGATCTTGAAACAAGTAGTTTAATGTCCTTGTTCACCTCAAACATACTTCAAAAAGGTAAACCTATCACAAATGTTATTTCTAATTTGCTAGCTATTGGAGTTAGGTATAATTAAATAAGAAGTGGTGATAATTATATGGTGTAATTACAATATGACTTTTCAAATACCTTTATTTTTCAGAAAATATTGTTCTTTTTACATTCTTTCACTTCCCACTTCAAATATGTTAGGAACACCTATTAAAAAGGCAAAATATATAGTTTACCCATTGACCTTATACCCAAATTTCTCTTACACACCTGTTCATTACGGGGATAATATTACACATTCAATCTTTCAAAAGTGTGTCAATAACACACCACTTTTGATCAGTCCAAGTAATAGTCTATGTTGTGCATCATACGCGCGTCTCTAAATTAAAAGGACTCTTTTAATCACCCAACCCGTTTAAAGATCCGACCCACTCAAATAAAAAACTCAACAATCAGTGCACCACCTTCCCCACCACTGCACCACCTTCTCCACCATTGCAAGCCCTTTTTCTTTACAACAACAACAACAACAATCCAGTATAATCCCACTTAGTGGGGTCTGGAGAGGGTAGTGTGTACGCAGACCTTACCCCTACCCTGGGGTAGGGAGGCTGTTTCCAAAGGTTGCAAACCCTTCTTCTTTGTAAAAAAAAATATTCTGCCATAGTTACCACAAAAATATTAGTTGTAACACCCAAACAGATACACACAAATAACATATCCAAAAAAACTTCACTGGCCGGAATTTCGCCTGAAACTCCATCTCCGACCAACCCTTCATTTTGATATTATCTCTTCTTTTTCACAAACCTCAATAATGGTGAGCCAGAAGAAAATAACGAAAAGGAAAATTTTCAGTTCTTTATTTGGCAATACGACCACTTTGTCAACAAAATTCCAAAACAAGAAATTGAAAACTTAATTTCTTCAACAATTCTGCCCTTCTCAGTGACATAACTATCACCAAGAAATTTTCGAAGAAATTCCGAATCTCGAGCAACCAAAAGAAAATAGAATAAGAGAAGGTTGAATCGAGGAAGAAGACGAAATAGGAGGAGGGGAAACNGAATCTTGAGCAACAACAAAAAAATGGAATAGGAGAAGGTTGAATCGGGGAAGAAGACGAAATAGGGGGAGGGGAGACGAAACCTATGAGGTGGGGAACTAGGAAGAAGACGCGGGGTAGGGGGTTGGGGCGGGGAAGAAGACAAGAATGGGAGGGGTTATTTTTTATTTTTTAAAATTTGTTAATTGGCGTAAAAAGAAAAAAACTTAAAAATTAGACACGTGGATTCTTTATAAATCTTCTGACATGAAATTCTTAGCATTACGCGCCTATGCTATGTGAAGAACACGCAGGTGCCACGTAGTTAAAGTGATGTGTTATTAACACACTTTTAAAATGTTTGAGTGTGTAATATTATCCCTGTAATGAACAAGTGTGTAAGAGGAATTTGGGTATAAGGTCGATGGGTAAACTATGTAGTTTACCTATTAAAAATAAGTTTACATTTTACTAGTCGTTTTCTGTCTATTTATTAGTATAAATATTTATCACATAAAATACTTTCTAAACTCATACATATCGTTTTGTTGTTTAAAAACTAGAATAAAGCATGAATATCATGTGATATTCACATGACTAGTACGGATAGGCTGTTGAGCACGGGCCCAATAACACTGCTAAACAATGGAGCATATAAATTTTAAAAGGAGCTTATTTCATGATTAATTTTTTTGTCTAATTTATATGTATAATTATTTACATACAATATCAAGTTATTTAAAACATATAAAAATTAGCCCTAAGAACTCTGCTTAGTAGATTTATCAAAAATAAATAATTATAAATAGGTTCTCAGGTTACATTATTTTCTTCTCCCATTCAAATTTAAGGTTTAAGCAGATCTATTAAGAAAATCATTTAATAGCATTAATATAAGAATTTTAATCGATTTATCCTTTATATTTTCTCAAATTACTCTTTATATATCCTCATTTTTTTCATATTATTTACTGGATCAAGGATAGATTTGAAAAAACTAACTAATACTTTCTTGATTTCTCAAAGCAACTTACAATATATTGATATAGCTTTCTACAATATTAAACTTAAATTGATTAAACTTTCATAAAAATAAAATTAGTTTTAAATTTAGTGAATGAGTTAGAACAATGTACTTAAGGAAAAGTGGGTAGGTCAAATTTTACCCCAGGTGTGACTCTTCATTACTTACTTCATTTGAGTTATATTCTCATTAATTTATTTTTTTTATTCCGCTAGGCAATTGCCTAGGGTTAGTTTTATATATAATCATTAAAAATACGAAATACAATGTCATGATATCCTACGAACTGATTGAAATAGAGTTTGAACTTAACAAATATCCTATTATCAAAATTGAGTAATGCACTCAACATTGATATCACATTAATGCTATTAAACTTTGTACTATAATTCAGCATCCCCGAATGTGCATTTGAAAAGCATAATGCAACGTTCCTTCTATTAATTGCGTGCAATCCATTTGCAACTGTCATTTTGTATCCTCCGATGTACTTTTGTATGTCATTTGCGTTCCTCCATGTTTTAATACGATTCCAGCATACGTTCTTGAGGTTCCACATGTTGTTGAGAAACCAGTGCACATCATTAATCTTGCACGCCATCTGCTTTGTGCTCGACGTCTGTTCTTGAAGTAGCAGACATCTGCTTCGTTCTTGTTGCATGACAGCGCTGAAGTCGAAGAGTGAAGATCCCTTTGCTCAACAACATGTGTTGCCTGCCATGCCTTTCACATTAAACCATGTGTGCACATTAAAATATTCAGAATTGTGTGCTCTTTGTCCCTTGGCATTTTCAGTTGCTGTGTTTAATTACCTTCGCGCGTGCATTAATGTTGTTAATGTCGATCTTCTGTCGCCATATGCTTGTTGTTCTTGCTGTAAATTCCACTCCAAAAAGTGTACGTCTCTCACACAAATTCAGCATAATATTTGAATCTCTCCCATATAAAGTTTGACAAACGTTATCGTGCATGGCAGTTGCACCTTCTTTCCCCTTGCTGCGTTCCTATTTCTTCGTCTTAAAGGAGACAGCTTTGTGTTGGAAAGCACGTGAGCTCCACCTACAGCAGCATGTGTTGTCTGCCAGGCCTTCCCCATTAAACCTTGTGTGCATATTAAAAGATTATTTAATCCGAAAGTGGATTGAAGCATGCTAAATAAAACACATTGGCCTTTGTTGCCTGCTTTACTCGAAAAAATATTTGTTGCACATGCTAGTTGTGTTTCCAATGCCATTTGCTTCATGTTGTGCTCGAAATGAGTAGGAATCATTTTTATATTCCAATATCCTGCTTGTAACCGAACCATGCGTGTGATATTAAACACTTCTGCCCCATGCTGGTTGTATATCCAATGAACTGAAAGCACGCTTTCACCCCATGCTGGTTGGGTTGCCAATG